CCAGCTCGATATCAAACAAAGCCAAGTTGATTATTACGTTCACAAAAATTCTAACGCTATCTCAAAATTCTCATTTTTAGCAACAACTTGCTTTGATATTCGGTGTATGCGTGGCACGAGTTGCAGATTGATTGAAGGGAAACCAAAATGTGTATCATCGCTGATTCGTCGGAGTCAAGGTACATAAATAAAATAGAGCTAGCACATCTCTTATTTGAGAAGTTTATTTTTAGAAGATTCTAATCCATGCGCAACCAATTCTTGTCCAGCTGGTTTGGAATGCAAGGTGATTGAGGTTCCATGCATTGATGCACCTTGGTATGGGATTTTGCAAATTATAACTGCTGGAAAAAATCCAACATTTAGCCCTCCGATAGGAGTGTGCGGCCCACCGTCTGGCAACAATAAGTGTGGTACAAATGAGACATTCAAAGAATGTGCTAGCCAATGCGAGCCCACTTGCGCCAATAAATCGTCGGTAAGTTTGTGCCAGGAACTCTCGGCTGAATCAAAATTTTGATCAATCCAGTCAAGATAGATTCTAGCAAAATTTATGTCATTTTACAGATTTGCATTCAAATGTGTGCACCGGGAAAATGCCAATGCAAGCCAGGTTTTTACCGTAACACTACCGGTCAATGTGTGACTGGAGCTGATTGTGGTAAATATAATAAATAGGCAATTATTTGCACTATCAATTTAACTATAGGGAGACTTTTCGTGTTTATCACTTTATCGCACTAAATCAGTTTCTTCTTCGTTATTTTTTATCTTGTAAATTTGAAGCTATTTATTTATGCATATATGCACTGTGTACATCAATCGTCACTTACGTATAATTTCGTTTCACATTGCTATAAAATAATTTAGAAGTATTACACTATTACACCACTTACATCTTACACCAATTGATAAGGAGGATATTGGACACTTTACAGCGTCTCTTTTCTCTTGAAATTTCTCGCTATTCAAAACTTGAAAGCAGAGATCATTCGAAAGTATAGTGATGAGATTCTGAAAGGGCGTATTAGGGGTAGCGTAACTAAGTACGCGATCAACTCCGGCAGGAATCGCTATAGTGTGTAGAAGCGACGACGGTTGCCTCCCCCCTTAACGTGAATGATTTTGAGGATACAAGCTAAAGTGAGGATGTCTTTAGAATTAAAAAACCTGATGATCATAGCGAAGAAAGATTTTCGATTTTGACATTGAGGTATAGTGTGGACTTCGGCCGACTTCCACAGGTGCCTCCGCGGCGCACACGCAGCTCGCGCATGGCTTGGTGCTTCTCATCTGCCATATGAACAGTACGCTCGTCTACGCTCGCTTATCAGTGAAATGAAAATTGGAAAACTTCATTCACA